TTCCCTGGTGAATTATGCTGCTTATGGAAATCACTTTTATAGCATATGCAAAAATATGTACATGGGGAAACAAAGAGCAAGCAAGACCATAATTTGGCATTTGTGTATAGATTTCTTAGATTCTGCTATGATCCACTGTCCTGGTATCAAGCTGTCCCTGCATTTGGAACTGGTGCCTCTGAATCTCACTCCATTCTTGGGAAGAAGAGAAGCCAAAGTAACATTCTCATAATACTTTCAGATGGAAGTATTCATGCTGAAGTCAGTAATGAAGTCTATAATTGATCTAATTTCCTTTAGGAGTCAGGGTAGTCTATCCAAGAGCAATTTCTCAGCTTCATCATTAGTCTTCAAACAAGGGCATGATACAGATACAGATGCTCAAAGATCCACCAGAATGTCAGTCTATTGGCACATTATAATTATGTTCCTTGGAAGGTTAACAGAATATTCCCGGCATGTTCATACTGCATAATATTAAGCCTGAGGAAGCCGATATAAATGAGGGGTCTGAGGAATGGAAATGAGAGATGACACCAGAGGTCTATGACCATGCTGAGGGATAATGCAGCAGCCCATGGGAGTAAGTCCCTTAGTGAACCATTTTGCAAGAGTAAGGAAAAGCATTACAGATAAATGGTGATAGACTGTGTAATGTGAAATGGATTAGACTTCATAAGCAGATCATTAAAGTTAACCTGATAGTTTGATAAGAAACAGCTTCTTACCACTTCTGTAACTGTTAGTCTTCAAAACATGTGCATGTACATATTCCATGGTGCTTCTTCCCTCAGAATTCAACCTTACAGGGATTGTAGTGTAAAGTAACTGAGGAAGCTGTAACAACTCTGCCCCCTTTATGTCTTCAGTGAAAGGCGCAAGTACAAGCTGTGCTACCCTCATAAGCCTTTTAATAGTAGGTTCTAACTCAGGTGCACTAGACACACACCTCTTTCACTGGAATATATTGGTACACACGCACATACCTCCCTTATAAAAGTTAAATGTCCATTTCTTTTTATTTGAGTGCTTCTACACATTTAGCTCATTGGTTACCAAGCATTGTTCCTGCTGGTTGTAAGGTTTCAGAGGCAACATGGATTTTTCAAAGAAGGTATCGGATCTAGAGGAGAATATGATGGCACAACAGTTGGTAAAAATATAGATGAATGGATGAGTATGTCATTGCCTTGCAAATGTCTAATTGGAAAAGCTACAGAAGAGACAGTGAACAGTCAGCTTGTTTGGTGGTTTCATTTTGGATATGTTGTAACAGGATTTCTGCAAAGGGTAGTTCATTGTGATATTTATTTTTTTTTAACTTTTTGCCATAAATAGCCCAGGTGATGCTCTGAAGTCCTTTATTCTGTGACTATAGAACAAAAGGGAAGTGTATATTCCTAGCATATAGTTTCTCCTTGACTTGACTTGATGGGGGAAAATAGCATGGTAAGTTAACTGTTTGATTAAGATGTAAATTTGAAACTACCTTGGCTATAAGCTTGCAATGGACTTAGTAATAACTTATTTTTGAAATGCTGTGTTGTGTATCTACCATCCTGAGAAGATTTCCTACCACCCTGGTGAAAGTTGCAGTGATTAGGAAAGTCACAATGGCAAATAAATATGACAAAAGAACAGATAGACTGTAAGCTTCAAAGAGACACATTAGGAAATTTGGTCGTCACACCAGACGACAAAGCCAACATATTTAACAATTTCTTTGCCTCCATTTTCCTAAGCAGGGACCGGAACAGTCACCCCCCCGCTGGGCCCCCCTCAGGCCCCAGGGGAGGCACACCTAGGCCAAGGGTTAGTGAGGCACTAGTTAGGGAAATTCTGGAGGGACTGGATGTATTCGAGTCAGC